GGCTAGGTGGGCTCTTCTGGCCTCCCCTTCTAGGGAGAGTCTCCCATTTCAGCAGCAAGTGCTTGAGGAGGGCTGCGTGATTCCTGCAGCGAGAGACTCAGGACGGTAAGGCACAACTGCGCCCACCCCAGCTCCTCCTCTAGCCATTGACATTTACACCTGTCTTTACCTGTCAACTTTGTGTTTTTGGCTGAGTGCTTTCTGGAATGGTCTGCTGGTGAGATGTTGGGTTCTGGTAATGGTATTCTTTCTTTACAGCCTCCTTGAGAGGCTTCCCTGTTCTCCCTGTGCCTTGTCTTTTAACTCATTGTGGCCTTCATTTTCTCCCAGAGTTCCAGCCCCGTCAGGCCTGGACCCACTGTTTAATCCTTCAGTTGCTCCCTAACCAATCCACTTTGTTCTTTCCCTCTTTCCCTTCTGTAGCCCCATAAGCCACCTGCAACCTTGCAGCCAGCGCCTCTCTCTGCTCCTGGATATAGATTACCTTGGAGGAGAATTCAGGTCCTCTGGACAGCCCTGTCTTGAGGCAGACCTTTCTCTCTTTGCCTTCTTCTGTGACCTTTTAAGACCCTCTCTTCTTTCCTTTTGCATCTCTCTCAATGAAGTTGCCCACATTTAGAGTTTGTCTAGCCCCTGTGCTCCCCTAAGATCCCTACAGTTCTGCCCATTGGGTTTCCAAGTTGGATGCCACACTGGCACCTCAGAATCCACAGGTCCAAAATAGAATTTCTCTTTCTACCCCAAAGATGCCAGTCCTCTAGTGGGCCTGTTTTTCTGGGTCTCTTTCTTTACATTGTTCTTCAGCAGTGGTGTTTCCTGTGGAACTTGAGGTCTTATTCTTGAATTACCAACCTCAGACTTAGAGTATACAGTTGTAACTCCTTGGTTTTCAAACATTTTTAAAGTTGTGGAACCTTCTGTTCAAATGAAATCTTTCTAAAAAGCCCAATAAGTAAAATAAATAAAATGAGAGTCCTCCTAGTGGTCGGGGAGGGAGGCGGTGGGCAGGGTGTGAAGGGCCAGCATCCTGTCCGCAGCCGAGTAGTTGGATGTTCCCTGCTTTCCTCTCCTCCCAGGCAGGGCTGGCGGCTGGCTCTTGGGGCAGCCTTCCCTGTGAATTCTACATAAATGGAGCACCCTAGAGTTGCTGTCAGCACTGCTTTGAGGTTATGCTTAACTTTTAAACCATTTTATCTGTTCTGTACCCCACTTCTTTCCTTTGGAAATTTAAATTTTACTTGTGACTGATAAACGTAAATTTAGTGCCAGTGATGAATCTTGCCAAGGAAAATGAAAGACGCCTTGGAAACCGAAGCTAGGTTTTTTTTTTTTTTTTTGAGACAGCGTCTTGCTCTGTTGCCAGGCGCCAGGCCGGAGTGCAGTGGCGAGATCTCAGCTCACTACAACTTCCGCCTCCCAGGTTCAAGCAATTCTCCTGCCTCAGCCTCCTGAGTAGCTGGGACTACAGGCACGTGCCACCACGCCCAGCTAATTTTTATATTTTTAGTAGAGACGGGGTTTCCTCATGTTGGCCAGGATGGTTTTGACTCTTGACCTCGTGACCTGCCCACCTCGGCCTCCCAAAGTGTTGGGATTACAGGCATGAGCCACCGCGCCCAGCCGAAGCTAGGTATTAAAGAATCAGCTTTGTCAAATGCTGAGATACTGAAAGTGCTGAAGGGCTTCTTTCAAAATTTACTTATGTCTCTGGCCGGGAGCGGTAGCTCACGCCTGTAATCCCAGCATTTTGGGAGGCTGAGGTGGGCAAATCACTTGAGGCCAAGAGTTTGAGACCAACCTGGCCAGCACAGCGAAACCCCATCAATTTTAATAAAAAATTATCCGGGCATGGTGGCACATGCCTGTAATACCAGCTACTAGGGAGGCTGGGGCAGGAGAATCACTTAAACCTGGGAGGTGGGGTTTCAGCGAGATGAGATGGCGCCACTGCACTCCAGCTGGGGCGACAGTGTGAGACTCTGTTTAAAAAAATTTACTTAACTCTCTGCTTGACTGTTTTTCTTGAAATCTGCATTTCTACCAATATGAGCACTTTCAAGATAAACTTCGTTTATTTTTACTGTTTTTGTTTTGTTCATTTATTAATATAGTAGGCTTATTCAACCCATAAAACTAAAATCTTTACATATTTACAGTGAAAAATACAAACCTTGTTCTGTTGCTTCCAAATAGTCCCTCTATTTTCCCCACCTCTCCCATCCATCCAGCTATACTGTGGCGAAGTAGAACTTTTTAAACAAACTTGATTTTAGTCACATAAAATCCCACAACTGGCTGAGTAAAGTCCAGACTCCTCAGGAAGGCATGCAAAACCCTTGAAGAGCTCATGCCCAGTCCATTTGTCCAGCTTATCGCCCTCTCCCACGGCCTCCACAGCCTTACCCACCCACTCTCGTGTAAATCCTTTCCTGCCGTGTTCCCTCTGCTTAGGGTGTTCTGCTAAGGCAGTGCTTTCGAAGTGTCAGTCTTGCATGGACCACTGTCACACTTTTTGCTGTATTTGATTACCAAAATTATTGTTATTATTTTGAGACTAAGTCTCGCTCTGTTGCCCAGACTGGAGTCCTGTGACTTGATCTTGGAGCCTCTGCCTCCTGGATTCTAGTGATTCTCTGGCCTCAGCCTCTCAAGCAGCTGGGACTACAGGCATATACCACCGTGCCTGGCTAATTTTTTGTATTTTTAGTAGCGATGGGGGTTTCTCCATGTTGGCCAGACTGGTCTTGAACTCATGATCTCAAGTGATCCACCCACCTCAGCCTCCCAAAGTACTGGATTTATAGGCATGAGCCACTATGCCTGGCCCACAATTATTCATTTAATATATTTTAAATTTTTATTTTTAAAATTTATTTTTAATTAATTAATTAATTTTTGAGACAGAGTCTTACTCTGTCACCCAGGGTGACATACAGTGGTACGACTTTGGCTCACTGCAGCCTCCACCTTGCAGTTCAAGGGATTCTCCTGCCTCAGTCTTCTGAGTAGCTAGGATTACAGACAGACATGCACCACCAAACCCGACTAATTTTTGTATTTTTAGGAGAGATGGGATTTCACCATGTTGGTCAGGCTGGTCTCGAACTCCTGACCTCAGATTATCTGCCTGCCTTGGCCTCCCACAGTGCTGGGATTACAGGCATGAGCCACCATGCCTGTGTCATTGATGAATCTTGCCAAGGAAAGATTCCTTAACTTAAATTTTATAAAGTATTATTGTATTTTAAAAATGTAAAAATGCAATCAAGTAATAATAAATCTAACCAGTTTATTAAAACACATTCCTTCAATAAAATTCTCAGCAAAGTCCTTTGTACTTAAAATTATAAAAAGAAGTACCTGATAATAGATGATATTAAGGAATTGTTGATTTTGTTTTTTAGGTGTGATAATGGTATTGTAGTACATAAAGGAGAATGTGCTTATTCTTGGGAGATGCAAGCTGAAGAGTTTAGAGGGTGAGGTATGATGTCCTCAGCATTTTCAAATGGCTCATAAAATGTGCGTATAAGTCTTTGTGTATATAGAAAAGAAAATCTGGAAATTTGAAATGTTTGAATCTAAGTGGAGAGTATTTGGAATTTTTTCAAAATTTTGATAAAAGCTTGTAGTTGAGGGGGTTTAAAATGGCTGCAAAAAAAAGTTGACATTAACAAATTTTTGGGCTGGGCGCAGTGGCTCACACCTGTAATCCCAGCACTTTGGGAGACTGAGGTGGGTGAATCACCTGAGGTCAGGAGTTTGAGACCAGCCTGGCCAACATAGTGAAACCCCATCTCTAATAAAAGTACAGAAATTAGCTGGGCGTGGTGGCACGTGCCTGTAATCCCAGCTACTCCGAGAGGTTGAGGCAGGAGAATCCCTGGAACCTGGGAGGCAGAGGCTGCAGTGAGCCAAGATCGTGCCACTGCAGTCCAGCCTGGGCAACAGAGGGAAACTCCATCTCAAAAACAAAAACAAAAATTTTATTAAAATTTTTTCTTAGAGTCTTGCTCTGTTGCCCAGGCTGGTCTGGAACTCCTGGCCTCAAGTGATCCTCCTACCTCAGTTTCCCAAAGCACTGGGATTACAGGCATGAGCCATTGCACCTGGCCCATAAATATTTTAAAAGGCAGAGTCTCTGGTAGGCCCCAGATTTTCTTGTTTTCTCTCAGGGGCTTGGGTGTGGGGGGAATGCTCTCCTGAAGAAATCTCTGCTTGTCCTATAAGGCCCAGGGCTTCTCTGAAGACCTTCCTCCTGACTGTCTCAGGTTAGATTAACCATTCTTGGCTCTGGGCACTCACAGCATTTTACATATTTCACTCTTATAAATATTACAATTGTAATTATTTGTTCACTGTTTCTCATCTCTACTAGACTATGAGCTCAAGGTCAGAGACGCTGTTTTATTCCTAATCAGTACCTTGCACACAACTTAGCACAGAGTAGACACTAAATAAATTATAGCTGAATGAAGACACGGAAGTAATATTGCAACATATCCACTTATAATGTTATTTCTATTTGAAAATGTATTATGTTCTAAACAAGCAATGATTATGTTTAATGAGATCTCATCTCATCTCGTCATTTCTAGGCGTAGAGCCTGCCAGTGGCTTTCCATAGTAATTAGAATAAAATCCAAACTCCTTGTGTGGTCTACGGTACTCTTTGTTTCTTGTTCCCTGCCCACCTCTACCACTTTTCCACTTACTTTCTCACGAAGGTCTTCTTTCCGTTCCAAGGATATTGAGGTTTTTTTTTTTTTTTTTTTGTGACAGGATCTTGCTCTTCACCCAGGCTGGAGTACATGGAGTGCAGTGGTGTGATCACTACAACCTCCGCCTCCTGGGCTCAAGAGATCCTCCCATGTCAGCCTCCCAAGTAGCTGGGACCATAGGCGTGCACCACCACGCTCAGCTATTTTTTTGTATTTTAGTAGAGATGGGGTTTCGCCCTGTTGTCTAGGCTGGTCTCAAACTCCTGAGCTCAATCATTCCAGCCGCCTCAGCCTCTGAAAGTGTTGGGATTACAGGCGTGAGCCATGGTGCCCAGCTGGCCGGACATCAAGTTTGCTACACTTAGTTCCTTTTAATCATGGAGGGTTCTGCTCAGTGAAGCCTTCCCTAGACATCCTTACTTCCATTCCAGAGGCACTTTTTTCTCACCATTGTTTGAATTTTCTTAGTGACACTTTTCACTATATGAAATATTTTATTTTTAGCTCATTTTAATATTTTAATTTTATCATAAAATGCTTTAAAGCCACTCTGTTAAAACCTGTGAACAAATTGTTCCTTGTGGGAGAGATAAACTATACAGCAATGCATTATTACTTGTGTTCATTTACTGTTATAAACTCTGAAGGCAGGGAGTGTGGCTGTCTTTTAATCACCATGACATCCCTGGTACTGAGAACCTGGCAAATATGTGTATGTAAATGGAAGTATGAATAAATAACCAATTTATAAATGATTGAGAAATATTTTTTTCCTATCCCTGGACACTTTTTTTTTTTTTTACAGTGTTATAGTTTTCGTTCTGAATGTTCAGGATTTAAAAAAATGCGAAACTGGTATTTTGTCATATTTTGCTGCTTCAGGTATCTATTTTGATGAATGTTTTAAGTTGGCAAAATTCCTTTCCTCATCTTAATTTTTGAAGATCATGTTAACTTATAACTTTTTTCCCAAGATAACTGAGCATCTTTGAATCCTTGACAAATGCATTTCCATTAGTAAAAATCCAGTTGCAGGGCATTTGCTTTACTTTTTGTGGCAGTCATTACAAAGAGGCTGTCAGCAGTCTGGTTTTGTGTGGGTGTGGGGTGGGGCAGCTCCACTTCCTTTGCCCTGTGTGACTGATGAGAGCCTGTTGTTATTTGCAGGTGCATGAGCCACAGGTTGAGCTTCAGAATCAAGCCAGTGGAGCCACTTGCCTCCCACCGTTGTTAATGGAATCAGTGCACTTAATGTGGGAGTGCTGATGATGGCTATATCCGTATGAGGACCTGAGATCCCCGAAACCAGGAGGAGGCATCTACAGAGTTTGAAGAGGGTTGGACAGGCTTAGGCTTTGCCTGCCATCTCCCTTGCCCCTGCCCCCCCATCGTGCTTGGAAATGGAAAACGATTGGGAATTTGGAAGCTATGGAGGGGGAAACCCTTTATTTTTTTACTGAACTGATGCTTGACTGGAGTGAGTTTAGGTAATTTGGATGCTTTAGTAATTCTGAAGTTCTTTGTTAGTTTAGAAACAAAATAATCATATAAAACTGTTGACTCATAAAAAATATGATAAGCATTTCATATTAGCATATAAAATGTAATTGAACTTTAGCCACAGACTTGCTAATATATTTGTATCTTTTAAGTGTTGGTTACAGTGGAGCCAAACATTTAAGGGATTTTGCATTTTTGTTGCAGAAGCAAGTGGATTTTTTTTTTAGCATTATGGCCAATTGAAAGTTACTGTAATTTTAAAGGAGGAGGGTGGAAGGGACCTCTCCAAACTCCCAATCCCTCCACTCTGTCCTGTTTTACTGAATTCAAATTATGCCACAAAGACTTGAGAAATAGTTAAGAAAAATGAGATAGCTTTTAATAGGCATTACTTTTTTTTTTTTTTTTTTTTTTTTGACGGAGTCTCACTCTTGTTACCCAGGCTGGAGTGCAATGGCGCGATCTCGGCTCACCGCAACCTCCGCCTCCTGGGTTCAGGCAATTCTCCTGCCTCAACCTCCTCAGTAGCTGGGATTACAGGCACTCGCCACCATGCCCAGCTAATGTTTTGTATTTTTAGTAGAGACGGGGTTTCACCATGTTGACCAGGATGGTCTCGATCTGTTGACCTCATGATCCACCCGCCTCGGCCTCCCAAAGTGCTGGGATTACAGGCTTGAGCCACCGCGCCCGGCCTACTTTTTTTTCTATTGCTTTATTTTTTTAAATCATAATCACAGACTTAAGTACGCTAAAACACTTTATTTATTTATTTTTGAGACAAACTTTTGCTGTTGTTCAGGCTGGAGTGCAATGGCATGATCTTGGCTCACCGCAAACTCTGCCTCCTGGGTTCAAGTGATTCTCCTGCCTCAGTCTCCAAAGTGGCTGGGATTACAGGCATGCACCACCATGCCTGGCTAATTTTTGTGTTTTTAGTAGAGGTGAGGTTTCAGCATGTTAGTCAGGCTGGTCTGAAACTCGTGATCTCAGGTTATCCACCTGCCTCAGCCTCCCAAAGTGCTGGGAGGCCAGGCGTGAGCCACTGCGCCCGGCCTAAAACATTTTAAACGGGGATAGATGTACATAGTAAAAAAATTTTTTTGAATATCAAAAAAGAGTATGTTTCTTTTTATGGAAACCCTAGTTCCTCAGTCTCTTTTGTAGGCCACTATTATTCCCAGTTTCTTTTGTATTTTTACAGAAACATTCTATGTGTGTGAAGCATGTATTTCCCCATCCACATTAAAAAAACTCAAATGGTGGTATATTTTAGACATTGTTTTGCACTTTGCTCTTTTCTTTTCTTTTTTTTTTTTTTTTTTTTGAGACGGAGTTTCGCTCTTGTTACCCAGGCTGGAGTGCAATGGCGCGATCTCGGCTCACCGCAACCTCCGCCTCCTGGGTTCAGGCAATTCTCCTGCCTCAGCCTCCTGAGTAGCTGGGACTACAGGCACGCGCCACCATGCCCAGCTAATTTTTTTGTATTTTTAGTAGAGACGGGGTTTCACCATGTTGACCAGGATGGTCTTGATCTCTTGACCTCGTGATCCACCCGCCTTGGCCTCCCAAAGTGCTGGGATTACAGGCTTGAGCCACCGCGCCCGGCCGCACTTTGCTCTTTTCACTGAAAATATTTTGGATATATCCAAGTACACATAGATCTGCTGCATTCTTTTAATGGTTGCCTAGTAATTTATTGCATGGATGCACCGTAATTTATTTAGTTGTTTCCATATTTGTGTACATTTCGGGTTTTTTTTTTTTTTTTTGCTGTTACAAACAGTTTCATAGAATAATGATAATTGAATTTGCTTGGATTAAGAAAAGCTTTCTAATACTTAAAGTGGTTTTTTTTTTTTTTCTGAGTTAGTATATTTGTGGGAGTAAACTGTTCTCCATCCTCCCTGCCCCCAAGATACAGAAGGTAGAGGAACTGGGTGCAGTGGAGTAAGAGGAGTTGGAGATAGAGAGTCATGGAGAGGTCTCTACCACCCCCATTCTCCCTGCCCTTCATCCACCCCATGTTGCAGAAGGGGTGGCATAGTTAGAATCTCCAGTTGTGTCTTGGGAGACTAAAGCATCTGAAGATATGTTTAGACTACTGAGGTGTTGACGGTGCTCTTAAAGCCTCAGGCCTGAATGTGTGCTGCTCGTTATGAATTCAGATAGTTTGCTTTTGTATTTTTGTTTTGAGAAAATTGCAGCAGCAAGAATTGATTAACAAACTGTATCTATTTCTGGATTTGGGGGGTATTCTTTTGTACATTGGCAGAAATACAGCTAAGTTTTTAAAAGTTGATTTTTACCTGGGCTAATTGGTAAGGAATTTTAAACATGATGCTCCTGTTCTGGTGCAGACTCTCTAAAATGACAAATTTCCCATGGATGATGCCTAACAAATTTCTAAAGAAACTGAATTTGGAATCTTGAGGCACTCTGTAGTTAAATCTTACAGTCTTATATATGCCTTTGTAGTCAAAGCTCTTAGTTATTATCCTGCATTGAAAGAATTTCAGAATACCTCTTAGAGCCAATATTTATTCCCCTCCAGTACGGTTCTGCATACTGCCATATTCTGTAAAATGCTTTCCTAAAAAGTGTGACAGTTCATGGTAGTCTATTCTTTTATTCCCCCATGGTAGTACATTTCTAGCCCATGACTCTTACGACATGCCGAGAGGGTGTGCACACTGAACCAGTGACAGGCAGGCAGGTCCCCTCTGAGAGCACTTGCACACTTCTCTGCAAGGTTTCCCAGCCACTGAGTGCTAGACTGGGCATTTCTGAGTTGCATGTTTGTTCTGCTATGGCGTTCTTTCTACCATTTATTTTATGTTCTAGCAGGTAATTTTTTTTTTTTAAGATGAGCCTTTCTGTGTCCCCCAGACTGGAATGCAGTGGCCATTCATAGATATGATCATCATAGCACATTACAGCCTCCAACTCCTGGGCTCAAGCCATCTTCCCATCTTAGCCTCCCAAGTAGCTGGGACTACTGGTACAGGCATGTATCACCATGCCCAGCTAGTAAGTAGTTTTGACTCATGAAGGCAGACAAAGAGATGTGACTTGTAGAATTGAATTTGTGACAAAGAAACAGTATCACACTGAATGTCAAAACACAAGTTTTGTGGAATTCTAAGGTGCCTTCAAGAAGTGATCTGAGAGCCGGGCGTGGTGGCTCCTGCCTGTAATCCCAGCACTTTAGGAGGCCAAAGCAGGTGGATTGCTTGAGCCTAGGAGTTGGAGACCAGCCTGGGCAACATGACAAAACCCTGTCTCTATAAAAAGTACAAAAACTAGTTGAGTGTGGTGGCATGTACCTGTAGTCTCAGCTGCTCGGATGTTTGAGACAGGAAGATTACTTGAATCTGACTACAAGTGAGCCATATTTGAGCCACTGTACTCCGGTCCGGATGACAGAGCAAGATCTTGTCTCGAAGTGGTCTGAGAAAAGGAAATAACCGTAGACGTCAGCAGGCAATTAGGGTTAATCAAGTTTTTGTACTGCGAAAGGCTTTGTAAACAACCAGGTAACCTGGCAAGTTGGACTATCCAAAGTTTAACCTAGTTATGCCTTAGCGTTCCATTACTGGAACGCCAGGCTTCTGGGAGTTATTTATATGCTAGTGCTTAAGGTCATCACCAAAGTCTGATTTTTCACACAAAACAATTTGCAACCTCCGGCATAAATGGGTTAAGGAACAGGAGGAAGAAACGATGGCTTGAAAGCATGTTTTAACTTCACAGGATTTCAAGAAGACTGAAGAGGAAGCAAATTTCCTATGGATGATGCCTAACGAGTTACACAAGGACTCTGCTTTAGTGACCTTTCTCATTCTTCCATCCATGCCTGTTAAAAAAGTCAGCTGCAGCCTGATTGGCTCATGCGCACACTAGGACTTGTCAGAAATAGCTGACTTCTCGGGCAGATGGCAGGCACTGAATCACTGAATTTCCGTCTCTTGTGAAAATAACAGTATTCCTGGAGGCAGAAATGTTACTGCTGTGTTAAAAAGTTGAATTTTCTCATTCGTGAATTGGAGGTGCCATGATCTGATACCAGTAGTTCATTTAGCAGACACTAAATAGCTGTGATATGAAGCAGTGGTGCCAGGGGTTAAGAGAATGCAAAATTGAGTAAGTTTCTTGGCGTAGAGAAGCTTATAGTACCAGGATAGGAAATGATATACAACTTGTGTTTAAGTGTTGTCAAAAAAATGTAAAGCATTTACTTTGGAAGGTGTTTTGACAGAGATGTGGGAATGGGCTAATATTTATAGGGTTTTGTTTTGAGAAAGGATTTTTGTGGGAGTAAAGGGCAGAGAGTTAGTGATTTGTGAATACTTATTCGTATATTAATAGTACATGCATTTGTAATAAGCTAAACATTTCAGGTTTTAATAGAGGAAACATCTAATGTAAAATAAGAAAGTAACCCTGAAATTTTTTTTTAAATCCTTTCCTAGGCATCGTGGGTCATGCCTATAATCCTGGCACTTTGGGAGGCCAAGGTGGGAGAATCACTTGAGGCCAGGAGTTTGAGACCAACCTGGGTAACCTAGTAAGACCCCACCTCTACAAAAAATTAAAATATTAGGCGGGTGTGGTGGCACAATTGCATAGTCCTAGCTACTTGAGAGGCTGAGAGTGGGAGGATTGCTTGAGCCTAGGAGGTTGAGGATGGAGTAAGCAGTGATTGCACCATAGTACTCCAGCCTCTTCGGGGACAGAGCAAGACCTTGTCTTTAAAGGAAGAAAAAATCCCTTCTCAAGCCTTTATCTTTAGTGCTCCCTCCTTCTAAAGATATTGTTTAATTTTGGTGAGGTTCTTGCCAACTCTTTCTTTTTGAGAGTAGTAGAAGCAGCCAAGAACCAACCACACAGATCTCTGGGCTGTTAAAACTAGGACTGTAGGCAGCCCCACAGGGACCCACCTGTAACTGCAATGAGCAGCTGTGGAGACACAGGGAGGGAGGGCAAA